CGATATAAAAACACACTAATAACATATAAAGTTATTCATATTAGATATTTTTTAACGTATCAATGTTGCATCAAATTGTTCCATACATATTAGCTATGCAAACTGAATGATTGCAGGTATATCCAGAAAGCATTATCTTACCCTTAAACAATAATGAAATCATTAATGCAAAAGAAATCATTCATCCATCCAACAATCACAATTTTGTTTGCTGTCGATGAAATCCTGTAGTTGCGGATAAAACACTCCCAATTCGCTTAGATGAAAACAACGGTAGTAATCATAAATATGAGGAAGTGAAAATTACCCTATTGTGAACAACAATCATGAATATGCAGCAATCTTCAGTATCACTAATCATGGGCTTTGTGAGACTGTGTGCGTAAGCAAAATTTCCTTTTTAATGCTAGAGAAAAAATTGATAATTTTATTTTCAAACTTATTCACCCTTAAGTTCTTGAAGATCTAGCAACTATTTCATGAATTTATGGGACTCTAACGTATTTTAAATGCTTTCATGGAGTCTTAGAGCGATTTTCCCAATTATACGTACTTGAGCCTCTAGAAGTTAGCTCATTCTGTAAGAGTAGAATGGGATACGATCCATATAGAGGTTTCAAGTTCAAACTCTCCTTTTGTATAATTAAGAAAATTAAAGTTTAATTAGGAGACACTAATGTCCATGATTACAGAAAATTAAATAGAATAAAAATAAAAAAAATTGAATTTGTAGATTTAAAATATCATTTGTATCCTTAAATACAAGGATAAAAGCAAAAGATTATTGTTGTTGTTATTAAGTAATGATAAAAAATATAATACCCACACATCACATATTTTATTTTTTATATAATTGGATAAAATTTTTATTATGTTTCTTTCAAGAGTTTAGGGGGAGAAGTTAATATTGATTTGCTTGTGGGAACTTGATGTTAGATGTAAGGGTTTATGTTATAAGTTTTTTTGTTGTTGTTGTACACATATATTCTACAATTAAGGATAATTAAGCATGTTTGAGGCACAATTAGACACTAAATATTTACATGATATAATTAATTATTTATCCCAAATATATTCACATCATGCATATTAACAAAAGTGAGATTGTACTAACTAGGATTTGGAGTTAAATATTTTTCTATATATATATATATGAATGCTCGAGAAAAATAAGAGAAAAATTTAATTTGAAGTGAAAAAAAATTGACAAGTTAAGTGGTCTAATTAAGGAGAAAACTCAAAGAATTCCATTTTAGATTTTTAGCGTTTTAGACTTAAGGACTTAAAACTCTTGTAAAAGAGTAAGAAAATATAGAGCCCATTTGTTTTAGCTTCTTTCATGAAAATATTATTTATTTTTTGAAAAAATTATTTTGTGAGTTTTTATTATATTGTTTAAAATTTAAACAATAATCAAAATTCAAAAAAAAGAATATTCATTACGGGATATATGAAGATATTATAAAATTTTAAAATAATATAATTATAAATTATTTTTGTAAAAAAATCAAGAAAGATATCATAAAATTTAAAAATACCTAATTGATAATTATTTTTATTATAGTAACCAAACATAAAATAATGTCTTCTTTTTTTAAAAAAATCTTTGCAAAATAAATTTATTTTTATAAAATCTCTAAACTTCCTAAAAATAACTTATTTTTTAATCTTAAACAAGTGTGCCCATAATGGTTTTCAAATTTAAACTTATATTCCCAAAAGTTTTTCAATCTTAAATCAATTTTCCCAAGCTCAGTTTTTCATGCCTACAATGTTTTTAAAGTTTGGGAATTTAAAAAAATACATTTCATATTGAATTGAACTAAATCAATTGTCCAGTTTTCATTTTTATGTCATTTTTGGTTGACCAATTCTGAGCATTAGTCAACTAATTTATCCGTCACGTAAATTGGTTTGCTTTTTTTTTTAAAAAAATCTCACTAGACCAATTTTCTAACTTGGTCGACTAATCGTTGTTGTTTTGGAAATAATTAGTTGACCATTGGAAGCTTTTCATTCAACCAAAAATGACATTTTATTTGGCTATTGAAAGCAATGATTAACATTATATTTGACCAAATCACGTTTCTAGTATATCAAAGTTAGTTTAGTTTTTCTCAAGTTACTCTCGGCCTCAATCTTAGTTGATCAATTGTGGTCATTAGTGGAATAATATTTTAAGTATCTTTTTCTCAAGTTACGCAATGTTGGTGAAAAAATTTAAATTATTAAAATATGTATATTTAAAAAGAGATAAAGTTAAAAATTTATTAATTTTTCAACATGAGTTTTAAAGTATTCTTTATTTTTAATAAAATATATTCTGAGAAATCAGATCAGACTACAGCAAATTTCTAGAACTAATTGACCAACTTTGCCATAGAAGCATTTAATGAAGTTGTTCAATAGGGTTAACTTTTATGGCTAATGGTTAGATTTCATCTATATAGTAATGGCTATAATCACTTGTAATCCACAAATGAATATGTCATGTACATGCACAATTGGCATGCAACAATAAAGCTATCATGGGAAGCATAATTTGATGTGAAATCTATTCAATTACAGCAATGGAATTGGGCATGGTACTGTAGAAGCAAAATTGTTTACCATTTGATCCTTATGTAAAATAATCTGGAACCATTTTCCCTTTGCTTCTCTCTTTCTCTCCCCCACCCCCTTTTCTCTCTCCTCCTTCCCATTTTAGTTAAGTTCAATAATTTTTAGGGATATTTTTGTCTTTTTTATATCTAATAATTCTTCATTTATCTATTTAATATTCATATCAAACCAATTATATGGAATAGAATTTCATTTACTTTTTCTAGTGTCCAAATTCTTTTTAGAAAAAAGGAATCTTTCAATATTATCATACCAAGCAGGCTAAAGTTACCGACAACTTTGCTTTTTCTTTCATGCCATTCAATTTAATACTCCTCTCACCTTATTTAAAATCACTTTCAATATATTTTATAGTAATTAAAAAAATTTTTAAAATTTATTAATTTTATTAAAAAGTTTAATAAGTTCTTAACTTCATCTCTATTAAATATTTATAATTTAATAACATACTTTTTCACTTATTAATATTGAATGGAGGGTAAAATGAAAGATTTGTCATAAAAATTTAAGGGTTAAGGTACAAAAATACTTAGAAGTTTTTTTTTTTTTGGCATGAGCTTTTGGTTTTCTTAGGTTAACAAAGATACATGATACTTATTAATTTTAGGCTAAAATACATACAACCCTTTAAACTTTGAATCAGTTGCATGTAACTTCCTTTATCTTTAAACATTTAAAATTAATACCTTTAATCTTTAATTTTGTTTTTCAAAATCTCTAACCATTAATTACTCTGTTATATTATTAACAAAGTTTTCCATGTCAGATTAAAAATATTTATATAGAAGTTTACATGGCATTATATGTAAGCAAATAATAAGGGAGAATTATATTGAAGACCCATATAAAAAAAATTAATTACTATAAAGTCCATTAACAATTGAATTAAGGTCATTAATAACACATTGGCCTTAGTTTAGTTATTAATGAACTTTATAATAATTATTTTTTTGTGTGAAACTTGTATGTGATTTTCTCAAATAATAAATATATAAAAATTATATTTTTAAATATTTATTTTTGTATTAGTTATATATATATTTTTTGTTATTAATGGTGCATAGTTTTCTTCTATTGAAGGATAAATTTTTACTTATATAATACTTATCAATTACAACTTTTAATATTTTTTTCACTTATTTAATATAAAGGTTGTTTTAATGGATAAAAATAATATAATTATAATTTTTCTTTTAAAATGTGTTAATAGTCAGCAACCAGAACAATGTTGCTCAATTAAAAAATTAGAGTATAATCATGGATGTTTAAAGTAAAAACTACAATTTTGCCCCTCCTTATATTGTGTTAAAAAAATTAATAAAAATATTTCGTTCATATCATGTGCCATGTCTATTTGATTAATCGGACATGGCAAAAATCTATTAATAACATAAGAGTGTTAATTAATAGTGTGAGACTTTGAAAAACAAAATTAAAAATTAATGGAATATTTTAGTCATAAAAGAGGCCAACCTTTTCTAATTTTTTAAGTTCTATCCAAGGAATTTAACAATTAATGTCGAGCTATTTTAATAGAGTGTGTAAGTAGGCCTCTTTGATAAAGTTAATGAGGGTCCATGCATCCTTGTTAACTTAATGATACCACAGGTTCAAAGAGAAAAAAATTTTAAGTATTTTTACATCTTAACCCAAAATTTAATGATATGAACTATAAATAAGACAAAAAAAAAATCATTTCCCTGTCTTGCAAATAAGATCGGAGTACATTGTGTGATTATTTCTTTCTATTAATTTTTGTGAACAAATTACATATAGTGCCTTTGTTATTTTTGTTGGAATGAATTTACCTAGGGAGAATGATGTAAAGGTTCTAAAAGGATCAATAAATTCAACCTTAATTTTAAGTGTTAAATTTTAAATTTATAAATTTGACTCTTAATTTTACAATTTAATTGTAATGAATTTGTAATTTATTTTTTAAATTTTAATATAGTTGAAGAATAAATAAATTTATTTTTTTATTAAAATTTAACATATAAGTTATAAATTTATTACAATGAAATTATAAAATTAAAAATTAGATTTGTAAATTTTTAAATTTAACATTAAAATTCAAGTTAAATTAATTGATTGTTTTGATACCTTTGCGTGGTTCTCCCATCCACCTTCCCATGTTGCATTCCATGTTCATACCAAACCAAATTCCACATACCAAAACAAGAAAGGAAGCAAAGAAGCATCTCTTATTGTTCTTTCCTTTCTCTTTCCTCACATTTTTCATGAACCGAGCGTGGCATGAATTCGTTGGCTGATTCAGATTTGCTGGCAGAACAGCATAGAAGCCCTGGGACCATACATGATTAATTTATATATTTAACTTAAAAGAGTGAATCATATGCAAAATGTTATCACTCACTCTCTCTCTCACCCATATCCGAAGATAAAGGGCCCAAGTCTACGACTCCTCTTTCCACAGTCCTCCTCACATCTTTCACGTCCCCATTTTTCTCTCTCTATAACCCAGCAATTTACTCTCACAATTCACCAACAGTACTTGAAATCTCTCTTTTTCCTCTCCATTCTCCATACCCATCACTCTATTATATGCTAATACACATGTTGCCTTCTATGTTTTTCCAATCCTCCTCCATGAGCTGATCACACTGTTGGTTTTTATTTTTTTGGTATCTCAAATCGTTTCTGAGACAACCACCTTTCAATTTGCCCTCTCAGGGTTGAGTTTTTCCTTCACAGTTTAGTTTTCTTGAAGGAGATTCTTGTTCGGGTAATGGGTTATTGTATTTCATAGTTTGTCGTTCATGCTCTACATGCCCCGTTTGCTGTGAAGATCAGGAGCCGCAGGTAGAAGAGAGCACAAGGTAAACTAAAGCTATGTTGGATCTCAATGTCGACGTGGAAGGTTCTCAGCCCCAAATGGAAGAGGACTCAGGGACTTCCAACTCCTCGGTGCTGAATTTCGAGGAATCTCGAGACGAAAATTCTTCCGCCTTCGTTTTCGACATACTGAAGAGAGAATCAGATTGTCGGGTTGAGGATGATGAAGAGAAGAAAACTCCACAAATCACGACAAAGCCACTTTTCCCTGTGAACAGTGACGATAAGGGACGCAGAGATTGTGATTTCCGATTGGGATTATCGTGTCCGAGAAGTAATCAATGGCTGAACCTGTCCTTCGCTGAGAGTGGTGCCGGCACGCAAGATGAATTGAGAGTGTTGCAGCAAAAGCAACCCCAAATCAGGAAAAGCAGAAGAGGGCCCAGGTCTCGAAGCTCACAGTACAGGGGTGTTACTTTCTACCGCAGGACTGGTCGATGGGAATCCCATATATGGTACACAATTAAAGTTTTCGGGATCATAGGGTTTTTTTTTTTTTTTTTCCATTCCAAGAAATTTTCCATGTTTCTAAAATTAGAAGTTATGCTGAGACAGGCAGACACCCTTAGCCTGTTGATTATTACTTCCCAAAAGTTTTGATTTAATCAGTCAACGCGTTTTCATTCATGAAAAGTCCAATAATCTGCTGACTTTGGATGCTAGATTTGAATGGTTTAACAGTGACAAGTAAAAAAAAAATAATATCTAAAACAAACATATGATTAGGTTTGTCCTTATTTTGGATATATATGTGAAACAAGAGGGTGACGTTGCACACTTTTATGAAACTAGAGGGATCAAAAGATTATTTAAACTCAATTTGGTGTGTAGGTGTTATTATAACTTGTTTGATGTTGTAAGTTCATTTCTGTGAACGCAGGGATTGTGGGAAGCAGGTCTATTTAGGTAAGTGGATGATCACTTGGTGTTACGTTTTAGTTCAGTGGAGATTTCATTTGTCCTTTGGTTTCTCTTTTGCTGATTTAGCCTATTGGGTTTTGATTAGGTGGATTTGACACTGCACACACTGCAGCAAGGTGAGAATCTGTTCCTCTGTTGTGAGTAAATTTTGTGATTTTTAATTCTCCATTTGAATATAAACTTATCAAGTTGATGCCTGTTGTCTATGCAGAGCATACGATAGGGCTGCAATTAAGTTCAGAGGAGTTGATGCTGATATAAACTTCAGTCTGAGTGATTATGAGGAAGACATGAAGATGGTATTAATTGAATTAGTTAAATGCCTAGTTATTGCAATTTCTGTTTGTCTTTTTTATTTGGCCATCATGGTATTCGACATCTTCAAGTCCTGATTTCGTGAACAAATTTTGATTGGGATGCAGATGAAAGGTTTGAGTAAAGAGGAGTTTGTCCAAGTCCTTCGCCGCCAATGCTCCGGTATCCCAAGAGGGAGCTCAAAATATAGAGTTCTGTCTCTCAACAAATGGGGTCAATGGGAAGCACAAGCCAGCCCTTTCCTTGGCAAGAAGTGAGAAACCCTCATTCAAACAAACAAAAAAACTCTTCATTTCTCATTAAGATTAAGGCATTTTCGATCTCTATCTTGGCTTTTTTTGTGCCTGGCGATCTTAAGGACGTCTTATCTCTCATTGCCTTGTTGCATATAGAATTTTAATTATGTTTTCTAGAGAAATGAACCTCAAAATATTAAAGAGAGATTATGTCTCTTCGTACTAACTAGGCTAATTCCTTTAGGTGATAATTTTCTGCAGTTTAATTCAACCCGAACTGACATTTTTCAATTTTTTTTTTTAACATGTAGGATTTATGACAAACTACCCTTCAAGAGTGATGGAAGAGGATCGGTGACTAGCTTTGAGCCTAGTAAGGGAGAGAGAACTATTGAGTCCAGCAGAGGAGGTATGAATTATGAAGATATGATAATGTTTGGCTCCTTCATCATAAGGGTGAAAAACTACTTCTCATTTAAAACTTGACGGCTAATTAATGCAGGGAACCAACAAAATCTTGATTTGAGCCTTGGAATTTCTCCACCTTCTAATGAATCCAAGAAGAATGATCCTGGGGGAAACTTATCTTTTTGTTATACAGCTTGCGAGCTGCCCAACAAAGGAGGGCTGATGGTATGTATCACTCTAGGCTTTGATCGTTTAAAACTCAGTGTCTTCAATATTATATCTATATCTATATCTACATAGATTTATATATATATATATATATATGGGAGTTAGAGAGAGAGAGAGAGAGAGAGAGAGAGATGCTGGTGTTAAATCATCTATAGCCCCTTTTACAGGCTGATACCAGTGGTGCTGCAATAATAGGGGGACAAGCCATTTATGGTGTGGCAATGCCATCTAAACATGGCCAAAAGTGGTGCTCTGGCTTATATCCTGGCCATGTACAGGATTATGAGGTGTCTATCTTACCTTGTTTACTTTGAGTTCATCATGATTAGGAAAAACAACTGTGAGCATAATTTTACTTTGCATTCATGAGTTTAACTCCTAATAATCATGCATTGTCAAATAATTGAGAATCTAATGCTTGAGTTGTAAGACTTCCAAGTCAATGGTCCTGCATGCTTTGAACCTGTTTCTTTAAATGTCATCATGTTTTCTTGACCTCTATGTGCTGGTTTCATGTCAAGGTCTTCCTGAATTCTTTGTATTTGTTTTAAGGGAAAATATAACTTTTGGTCCTTGGATTTTTCCTCAATTATCAATCCAGTCCCAAAATTTTAACTCAAAATAACTCAGCTCTTATAATTTCTTGATTTGGTACAACCCAGTCCTTATAACTACTTAACTCAGTAAATTACAAGAATTGAGTTGTATTGAATCAAAATTCAATGGCTAAATTGATAATTGAGAGAATGTTTAGGAACTAAAAATTATATTATCCCTTGCTTTAAATTGCAATTACTTATTTACTCTGTCTGGAATGCATGACGATAACATTATAATCCGTTGATCTTGTACATTTCTTCATTGTCATACCTTTGTGTAGCAATGCATCAAACATAATTAAACATAATACCATGAACCTGCTTGACACTGCGATGATATAGAATACTAGCCTATAAGATACATCAAGATATCGTTTAACATTAATTAGATAATTTATGGTCACAAATTAAAAGTAGTTGTATACAATGCATTCAGAGACAGATGAAAAAGAAAACAAGAAAATGAGTATGGAGAGAAGTGGACTTCATATGGATATAGTCACACTCTTTCTTTGACTATATGACTTGAGATAATAATTATAAAAGATTCAACTTGCATTTTACATAGTATCATTCTATGTTTGATGACATTATCTTGAACATCTCGGTTTGGATTTTCATATTCTAATTCTAAACAGTGTATCAATGCCAGGACAAGGCCATAGAAAAGAGAACAGAAGTTGTTCCCTTATCAAGATTCCCAAATTTGGCTTGGCAACTTAATAGCAACGGCAGCATCACGCCGGTGCCGGTGTTTTCTAATGCAGCATCATCAAAATTCATTTCTTCTAGCAACAATGGTGTGTCAGCCCCACCTGCAATCAACCCTCGTAACAATTCTATCTACAATCTGTGCTTCAGTTCAACCACAACATCCACAATTAATAGCTCCCCAAGTTGCCAAAGTCTGAGTACCTGAAAGATCCATGAACTCAGTCTGTTCAGTTTCTTTTTTAGTGGATCTATAAATGATTTGGTGAGTATTAAAGCTTCACTATAAATAGTAGTAGCTAGCTGGCAAGTTGTGATTGTAATGAAACAATATCCAGCATTGATTACAGCACCCAACAACTTTATTACTCTCCTTGAGATGATCTAAAACATCATATTTCATTGTGCTTGAGGTCTTTCTTACCACATCGATGTATACTGAATTTGAGATTTTGTTGGTAAGAGGCTTTAATGAATGCTTTGTGGAATGAGTTGATTTTTTTTTTTTTTAAAGGTTATGGACAATCTTTAATGCCAGCGGATGCTGTCGTTTTCCTGTAAATTTATATTGTTCAGATTTTTCGGTTTGAAAATTTAAATTGCCCAAGTTTTGATTTGAAAATAATTTAACTTCTTATTGTTGAATAATATCTCAAGTTTAAGTCTTGAATATAAAAAAAAAGTTGTCGCGAAGAGAATTTTATATCTGTATAATCTATTTTCAGCCTATAACAAAAAAGAGAAGAATAGACTAGTATTTTAACACACTTTGCTGAGAACAATTTTGGAGGAAAAAAAAAATATTTTCTTCGTTTAAAAATATAAAATATTTTTAATTAAATTTTACCCTTAATAAAGTAGTTACTTATTTTTAAATTAATTCTATCTTTTCATATTCATTCCTATTAAATACCTTATAATAAATATAAAGTCATTACTTTTAAAAAAAAGGTGATAATTACACTTCGAAAAACTAAAAATGCTTTATATTTTTTAATATCAAACTTTTTAAAAATGTTTTACATTTTTGAATAGAGAGGTAAAGATTTGAAAAATATTTTGATCATTTTCAATTTAATTTCAAATATTAATTCAGAAGTTTCAAATAAAATCAAAATATGTAAAATTGAAAGAATATATAAATCATACTACCAAAATTTAAAAGTATTGATTGAGTCAAACTTTAAAAGATTTTTTTAATTGAATTTCAAATTTCTAATTCCTAAGATAGGATCTAATGCAAAGATATCTTATTACAAGTAGATGAAAGCTCTAGTTTTGAAAGTAATTAGAAGATTAAAATAATTACACGTAATAATTTTTGAATTTATTTATTGATGAATAATGACCAATGACCACATCGGCAAATAGACTAATGTCATAACAAACTTTGTTCAAAATAAGCAGCAGTCACTTTACAATTGATATCTATCATCCTCCTAAAGTAATCCAACTGTCCTTGTCCCAAAATATATATATATATATATATATATATAACTGTCCCATAATCAACACGTGGCTATTTTTAAAAAAATAATTGTAAGGTCCTAGCCCGGCTCAAAAGATGATAAGATCACAAAGCATGATTATTCCTAGATTGTTGCTCCTTTTTAATAACAAAAAATTACTTATCTTCGTCTTTATTCTTTACATATTGTAAAGCTTGATGGGTTCTCTATTCATCTACAGTTTTTTGATTAGTTAACCTCCGTCAAATTTTATTTTTTTTTCATGGTTATTTTTTTATGTTTTTATTTTTATATTATTAAGAGATGTTGAAAAAACCAAGGGCATATGATAGATTCATAATAAAAAAAATAGATAGTAAATAGGAGCTTTTTCATATACAGTCCATTTTATAAAACTAAACTCAATAAAGAATCTAACATTTGTTATATTTTACATTACAATCATTTTAATATTTAGTTGAGCTTTGTATGACAAAATTACCCTCTTTGCAAATAATGACCTTCTTTCAAATATATATATATATATATATATATGTATGTATGTATGTATGTATGTATGTATGTATGTATGTATGTATGTATGAAAACTTTCTCTCAAATACTCGAAAACAAAAAAATGTTTCATTTGACCCTCTTTCAAGAAAAGAGAGAGGGGGGGAGGGAGGGGGAGAGAGAGAGAGAGAGAGATTAAGCATCCCTATATTTACAATATTAAATGACGTTGATAAGTTTTCACTTATATAATTTATGGGTGATATACAATTGTATATGACTAATATATTATCATAAATCAAAAACATGAAAAAAAAACATAATCATTTGCGCAAAACAAATCAAATCCAATCTGCAAAAACTTTTGGACATCTTAATTTATTATAGAAAATCAAATACCTAAACTCATAAATTCCATTTTTCATAATAAGAAATGACGAGATTAAGCATTCTTATATTTACAAAATTATATGATGTTAATAAGTTTTCACTGATATGGTTTATCAGTGATATACAATTGTATATAATTGATATATTATCTTGGATCAAAAATACAAAAAAAACATAATCATTTGCCCAAAATAAATCAAACATAGTCTATAAAATTTTTTGGACATCTTAGCTTATCACAGAGAATTAAATACTCATCTACAATGAAAGTTTTGGGTTTACATTCATTTTCAAGCAGGGAAGCCTAGCAATTAGACTCATTTGCAAAGCCACAAAATTGAACTACTCATGTTGGGATGTCTCTTACAAAAGAGTATACTTGCTAGGTCAACAAAAAAACAATATGTAAATATTACCTTGATTCCTCCACCCACCAAGAAAGGGAATGAATTATTTTAAAAGGGGGAGAGATATGATGACCATGTGTATAGAGATTTAATTCAATTAATTAAAGGTTAAAATCATTTAGTTAATTATGAGAGATATATTTGTGAACTAGTTTATGCAAAACATTTTAATAATATATTTGTTATGTAGATAAAAAAGAAAAATCACCTTTAATTAATTTAGTGAATGGTCATGTTTCAAAATATTTAAAAACCTTATCCATAATTTATGAAAACTGTATTTTTCATGATCATTGAACCAATTTACACTAAAAAATAATAATTTGAAACCAACAATGTTAGGATTAAAGGATTAGAAATAAACTTTATAAAACTAAGGAACCAAATTAAAATTTTACATAAAGTTAAATGACTAAAAGTATATTTTAGACAAAAAACTAAAAAAAACTAATTGAATTATGAAATTAATTTTAAAGTTATATAATTATTTGATAAAAAAGTTTTTAATTTTATTTTTGAAATAAAAAATTCAAGGATTTTAACTTTCAATAATTAACATATTTAATTGTTCAAATTATGAGAAATCAACATAATTATGTAATTTTGTTGTTGCAATCTCGGGCCTGCATTTTTTGTTTTGTTTTAGCTGTAGTCTCTTATTTACTAGAGTTAATTGCTCCAATGATCATGAAAAATACAGTTTCCATAAATTATGGATAATGTTTTTGAATATTTTAAAATATGATCCATTCACAAAATCAGTAAGAGGTGATTCTTTCTTTTTATCCATAAAACAAATATATTATTAAAATGTTTTGCATAAACTAGTTCACAAATATATCTCCTATAACTAACTAAATAATTTTAACCTTTAAGTAACTAAATTAAATCTCTGTTCACATGTCCATCATATCTTTCTTCCTTTTAAAACAATTCCTTCCCTTTCTTGTTGGAAGGAGGAATCAAGATGATATTCATATATTATTTTTTTGTTGTCCTAGCAAGTGCACTCTTCTACAAGAGACATCCCAACATAAATAGTTCAATTTTGTGGCTCTGCAAATTAAATAAGTCTACTTGCTAGGCTTCCCTGCTCGAAGATGAATGTAAACCTAGAATTTTCATTGCAAAGGAGTATTTGATTCTTTGTAATAAGTTAACATATGTAAATTTTTTTTCGAACTATGTTTGATCTATTTTGGACAAATGATTATGTTATTTCTATATTTTTGATCCACAGTAGTATATCAATGTATATCATTGATAAATCATATCAGTAAAAATTTCTCAACACCATTTAATTTTATAGATATGGGAATGTGTAATCTCGTCATTTCTTATGATGAAAAATGAGATTTATTAGTTTATGTATTTGATTCTTTATGATAAACTAAGATGTTCATATAATTTTTTACATATCGTGTTTAATTTGTTTTGGGCAAATAATTGTGTTTTTTTTTCATATTTTTAATCTACGATAGTATATCAGTGATATAACACTGATAAACTATATCAGTAAAAACTTATCAACACTTTTTAATCTTGTAGATATGAGGATGCTTAATCTTGTTTTTTTTTTTGAAAGAGGATCAAATGAAGCTTTTTTCTATTTTTGAATATTTGAAAGAAAGTTTTCATACAAAAAAGTATTTAAAAAAAGGTCATTATTTGCAAAGAAAGTAGTTTTGTCATAATGTAAAATATAACAAATGTTATACTGTTTGTTGAGTTTAGTTCTATAAACTAGATTATATATGTAAAAGCTCCTATTTTTTGTACCAATCATTCTTATTTTTTAAAAAACTTAAATTTAATAAGTCAATATTTGAAAATAATTTGTCAATATTTAAAAAATTAATGTAAAAAAGTGTTGTAATGAAACTAACTGTACTAAGGCTAAAGGGCTAAAGATATATTTTATAAAATTAAAGAATCAAAATAAAACTTTACATAAAGTTAAATGATTAAAAGTACATTTTATCTTTTTGTTTTTGTTTTTATATGATTAGGAGAAGTTGAAAGAATGTAGATTAATTTTCCCTTAAATTCTAAAATAAAAATAAGTTGTTGTTTATATTTTTATATAAAAGTGTTGCTATTTATTTATTCTAAATACAAAAAATAGGTGCCCCAACATTAAACATATAATTATTTATATTTTTATTATTATAGTTAATAATTTTTAATTAGTTATACAATTCCATATTTCAAGTTCTAAACGTTATTACTTTGATAAAATTATCACATTAATATTAATTCAAATTTAACCTTTTTTTTTTTGTTGCTTCGATTGGTTTGAGGGTAATGAAGTGAGAGAGAGAGAGAGAGAGAGAGAGAGAGAGGATATTTGTATGAATTTATTTTTTTGTTAAAAAAATAAGAAGTGGAATTGTTTTTAATTGGCCTTCCTCACTCTTTCATTTTACATGTTCTCTTTATTAAAATTTTATAACGCTGCTTGTTTTTTCTTTCAAAATTTAAATCATTAAAATCTTCTCTCATTTATCCTTATTAATTTTAACTCTTTTAAACTAAATAAAGTATTAATATCCTTGTGCATCATGGGTATAAAATCTAGTTATAAAATTGAAAATGCCAAAAACTATTACTAATACAAAATACTATATTTCACGTCTGTTAAATTTTATTATGGCATCATTGTATGGGGTGAAACCGTGAAATAGAAATTATTAATTCGCATAAAATTGACGTAAAAATAGTAACATTAAATTACTATTTTGCACGAGTAAATGATACATGAGAGCCGAAAAACTTGGTGTGCCAATTTGTGATTGTATTTGGATTAATATATTATATTCAAATAGCTTATACTTAATTTGAATTTGCAGTCATCTAATTATTTACCCATTAATCTTTTTTTCTTATTTTCATGCACGAGACTTGTATTACATTCAAAAAACATGGCGTGATAATGGACTTAGTAGGACATGTTTGGTTTAGAGAAAACAAATTTGATTTAATGAAGATGAAAATAACTTTAGGAAATGAGATAGAGATAAGTGGGAAAAGATGATGTTTACAACTCTGGTCCTATTTATAATGCTTTTATTTATAACGTAGATAGAGAATATTTATTTTAATTTTATTTATAGGGCATCTCAATGATTATTATATATATTTTTACTCTTTTGCCTATATTCAATATTAGAGAGATCATTAAATGGTAGAGTGTTTTATTTTTAGAGTTGATATATTTAATAAAGGTAAAGTTAAAAATTTATTAAATTTTAATACAGTTAATCAGATTTGAGATTTTCTTAATTCTGGTGAAAATGTTTGAAGTGACTTATAAATAGAATTGGAAGAAGTAATATATATGAGAAGAAAATAAATAAAATAGTTTAGTAAAGTGATATTTGATATGGTGGGAATATGAGAGGAATTAAGATGAATAAACACAAAAAGACATAAATGCCCATAACAGTGGAAAGAACAAAAATGACTTAGAGGGGCAATGGATTTTGACAGCATAGGTAATTTTGATATGTAATTATTTATCATAATTAACTTCTGGCATCTATGGTAACTTTCAATAAGCTTTCAGACATAATTATCACTTCCTTGTCTCCATCCCCCTCACCTTGTACTATATACCCCACTTCCCTCGTCCCATTTCCCATTCCCAGATTTTTTCTGGCTCACAAACACAAGTAACTCCTCCTAATCAAGCTAATTCCCATGCTATATACATCTTTCCAATCATATCATCATTAAATACATTATAAAAGTATTTTAATAATGATAATTAAAATTTTATTGTAATTTTTTTTCAAAATAAGTGATAAATGAAGTAGGAGAATAGTTAAAAAAATAATTATTAAAACAACATAATGTCATATATTTTGGATCAAATAATATTTCTAAAAGATATTTTATATTATGGTCTAGAGGAAGTATAATACTTCTTTCACCCTTTATTAAAGAGAACATCATCATGTCTTCTTCAAGTTAATTATAAAAAGCTATAAAAATTATAGGGGTAAAAATGAAACATCATTTGATATCTAGATGGGGCATATTAAATTTTTCTAAAAAGTTTATATAATTATACATGCTTTGTAATCTAATATTTTTTTTAAATCATGAAATTAATTTTTAAAAATTCAGCATGATAAATCTTAAAAGTTTTAAATTAACAATTTTGTTATTTAATAGTTAGCCCTCCTAAGTAGTTAGGCTGGTTTTGCCCCTGCAGCAAACCAAACATGCTGCACATGATTTCATGCATTTCCATTGGAGAGACTTCTGAAAAAAATTGCAAACCACCAAAATCACAGTTGCTATGAAATGCATTATGTTGCAAATAGAGATTTTAGATCTTGCCCTTGAAAAAGGTGACTACATGTAGTGCTGGATCATACCTCAAACAATAGCAGTAGAACTAGCCTCCCAATTTTCTAAAAAATAATTAGTCTCTCCTGACTTTATTATAATGCACATCTATTTCACTAGAATTAAGAAAATATGATTAAATTATTAACTTTGTTTAAAAATAAAATAAACTTCTAATTTTATTCAGATTTAAATGAAAATTTTCAAATATACACTACATTCTCTTTAATAATTAATGAGTTTAAATATAGTTTAAATATTCTCTCAATTATCTTATATTAGGAACAAAAAAAAAATCCTTCTAAATGGCCCTCTATAATGGGGACCGAAGGAAGTATTATAATATATTTGTCTCAATTTATAAGACACATATTAATAAATCTCATTAAATACAATTGATAACTTTACATTTTCAAAAAAAGAATATAAATTTTTTAAAAATGTCATTCATTTAATACCATTTGTGAAAAAATAATAAAAAGAGAGAATATAATGGGAATAGTAATATTGAAAAAGCATACTTGCTCCGTTCAAAAATATAAAGAATTTTTTGAGGAGTTAAATGTTAAAAAATGTAAAGCATTTTTAGTTTTTGAGGATGTAATCATTGCCTTTTTTTAAAAGTATCCCTATTAATAACGACTTTATATTTATTGTAAAGTGTTTAATAAGGATAAATATAAAATGATATGGTTAGTTGAAAAGTAGGTAACTACTTTATTAGGGGTGAGATTCGGTTAAAAATGCCTTACATTTTTGAACGAAGAGAGTAAGTAATAAAATCTTATTTTTGTTGAAGTGACTTATATTTTGAAACTGAATATTTTTCAAAAGCATCTTATAAATTAAGACGGGAAGAGTATATAGTTAATTAAAATTTATATTTTCAATATATTAATTGAATATATATTAAATTAATTGATACTATAAAAATACATAACAGAAAAAATAACAAAAAATTGTTGATCAAAAAACAGAAAAAAACAATTGTTTCCAAATCTCGATTCCTCACATCCACTAGCCCTCTCTTTTCCTTCTCATTACTAAGTAATAGGTTTAACAAACTTCTCTAAAGCTTATTACTACTTTTCAAAGCTCCTTTCTTGAAGGTAGATTGATCTTTGATAACATTTTGCTGACTAATATTGATATTATGCACCAAATTTACATTGCCAAAACTAGCAGAAAGAAACTGACGGCTCTAAAAATTGATTTGTTCAAAGGCATCTGACACGTGTTATGGAATTTTTTGACTACTATTTTGCAAAAGGAAGGATTTTCCAACACAATGGATCAGTCTCATCATGGAATGCATCTCTAAAGTTCAATACATCAACTCAGTTTCAATGAAATGCTCTCTTCCCCCATAATTTCAAGTAGAGATATGAGAGGTGATCCTCTTTCTCCTTACTTTTTATATTTTACCATCTAATGTGATCTTTTGTCTAATTAACAAATATGAATTAATTTCTTAATAAATAGAAAGGAATCAAGATTTGTAAAGATGCTTAGGCAATTTATCGTTGCTTTATGCAAATGATTCCATCTTCTTCTTCTTCTTCCTTTTTTTTGGAGGATTTTGAGCAATCTTCATTTATTTATTTATTTGTGAAGGAGGTTTTAGAATCATTTTATTGATAGTCTATTAAGAAATAAACAAAAAGAAAATCTACTATTATCTTTTAGTCCTAATAATGTACCTCATGCATTGAAACTCAAGCTTGCTAGTATCTTGGGCATTGATTTCTCCAATAGATGTTGGTAGAGATAAGTAACTGGTTTATCAACAAATAAAGGATTTGATAAGTAAGAGAATTTGTGCTTGGAAATCTAAACTGATATACCAAGCTTCAAGGTTAGCTTACTAAATCTATTATTTTAACAGCTAATATCTTTGTGCCAGTGTGTTAAGCTTCTAAAGAAATTATTTGATTCACAATGCTTTGGTTTTTTTTTTGGGGCTTGGGATCTATTAGTGATCATAAAAAGATACATCTTAGGGAGAGAATCTTGAATGCCCTTGATCATGTTCTTTGTTGCACTCCACTACTTGAAGTATATATACAGATGTTAACTCTTCACTGCTGATCAAAAAGTCTCACAACTCTTGCTATTTTTGGAAAGGAATATATGAAGGTGCTGAGATTATTACTACTAGAAAACTCAATTATTGGAGCATTAAAGATGGTTCCAATATTCCAATCAACCACCCAAAATGGTGGCCTAAGCACCAAGTAGCCATTCAACCTTATCAACAAGTCAATACTTTTGGCTGATCTAATCTCACTTCAACCTAGTGGATTGAGGCCTTTTTGTTGGAACAAGAACTTGGTTCAAAAGCTTCATAGACCTTCTATTGCAATTAATATTCTCATCACCACACCAATTTCCATTTCATATCAAAAATATTATTGAATCTAGGCTAGTAATGAAAAATTTTCCTATCAAGTTAAGGATGGTTCTTCATTTGGAAATTGACTCAAAGACCTTTTCTTGTCAATGACATCTTGCATCTTCATCATCACTTGAATGTTTCAATCTAATGCCTCTTTGGATGTCAAAGAAGAAATGTTGGAGCATATTTTTAGGCAATGCAGTTATGTCAAAGTTTTTTAATGTGGTTGTGTCTCGATTAAGTTAATAGGATTTTCATAATATAATATTTACAATTAGTCAGATTATAAAAGATTTTGACCACCTAATTCATGAATGAGGAATTTTGGCAGCTTATCACTAACATCATACTTTTTCTTAACATGATTTAATGAAAAAAAAATTCAGTTTAATATCATGGAATCATCATATAACCTTCTTGAGTTGCTAGTGAATTTAATGGTTAAAATTCTAAATCATTAGCCTAAATATAAATTAGATGGTTCATCATTTAAGATGGAAGCTTTCTTTCTGTCTTGAACACCAAGTAAGGATTATTGGGCAACAAGATTCATCATATTAATTATCAGAAATTAAAAATATAATACTGGCACGTGTCATGATCTCAAGGATTTAGACAAGTTGAACGGCTCAGATTGTTTGCTTGCATCGGGTGGAGTCATTGGCGTGACCGCCGGTGATCCTGATCCCTAAATGCCTGGAACCTGAGACAGAGGCAACAGAACAAAATTGGCGAACGCACACTTCAGTGAGAGTCGCACTCGTTCTGTGAAACCAAGAAGATGTGGCGCACGTTAGACGCCCACCTCAGGACTCTGCGACTTCCTTCTTCGCTCTCTTCCTCAACACTGACTTCTCCATATTCTTCTGCTTCGTTCTGTACAATTCTCTCTCAATCACGCAGGCTCAAGCCTCAAACCCTTATTCCTCCCAAACCTCAATCTTCTTTATCTTTTCTCAGAAGCTACGTATCCTTCGCTGACACTTCCGTTTCGCCTATTCCGGTGACCCGAAATTTCGGGTCGGGTATCAGTTTGCTGGTCGTGCGGTGCGTTTCTTCGGTCAGTTCCGTTAATAACTTGACCTGGAATGACTCCGTTTCTTGCTCTGAGGTTGCCGACGGCGACGATGGAGGCATTGCGGAGGATACGAAACTTCATATTCCTGTCAAGGCTTATTTCTTTTCCACCAGGTGTGAAATTCTCTTTTGGAAGTGGATGAAACTGGTTTTGTTCTCTTGGTTTTTCTTTATATCTGTTAATTGTTAATTTAATTTGAAATTAAATTATACTTTTCTTTTCTTAGTATGCTTCAATAGAATGTAGAACAATGTACAAAATTTCTTGGATGTTTATCTGATATGAAAAAACATCTTTAGAGCGAACAAATATGAGAAATAGACCCTAGAAAGTGAGTTCATGAAGTGATTGAACAATGTAATTGCCTCCTGATTATATATATAAATCTCACTTGCCTTTCCACGGATGTAGTGTTGATTTAAAAAGCTTGGTGGATCAGAACAAACCAAATTTTGTCCCGCCATCATCACGGATGACTAATTACGTTGTTTTCAAGTTTGGCAATCTTTTGGATTCCAGGGTATGTATCACTCGAGCTATGCTTTTGAGTATGTTTAGTGGAAAAATATTTGTATTGAATGTTATGCAAGTTAAAGGATTTAAAATAATATAAACTTTTCATTATGTAGAAGCGGGAAATGGTTTGTCAAATGACTTTTCTTGTGTACTTCCCCAACTTCCTTGAACTTAATTTTCATCATTTCTTGTATCAAGATTTATAGGCATGCATTTGTTACTTTAGGAAGAAGGTCAAATTTCTTATGTGTGAAGATTATGTTATATGTGGTCACTTATGCATGACTCCTTAGTTCGTCTTTATTCTCAGCAATTAAAAAGTTGTTGACGTTTTGAGGAAATATTCAATAAACCCCATATTGAGTGGGTTTAGTATATGCTAGAAGTAAGAGATAATTTTTGCCGTTACTTTTGATGGTACAGGACAAAGGCACCAAGTATGAAGACCCAACTATATATAATACAAGTATTCTATTCTGTACTTAATCAGCCTCCCTTTTGTACTTGTTCCATGTGCACGTTGTTTGTAGAGCGATAGTCAAGCTGTACTACTTAAAGAACTAAAGGGTGAAACATATAGGGCTCTGTATGATGTTGGGATTGAAAGAACCAAAAAATAACATTTGTTGTGGGGACTCGTTCTGCAATAATGTTAGCTGGTTAGAAATATTGATTTTGTTAACCTTAAGCTCATAATTTGTTAAACAAAATGGTGGATTGTGGTTCATACTCCGCAAGAATTTCTGAGTTCTCGTGGTTAAATTAGTCTCACCTAATGCCTTCAGATGGCAAATCTGAGTGCTCTTTCTTATGGAATGTAGACAATGCATTTGTTTCTTTGCGTTTTACTTGCTTGAGCTTTTGCTTGTACAGTAGTTATTCTGTTAGCTAGAAGACTAATGCTCTAGATTGGCATCATTGACTGAACTATTTGTTGTGGCATATGAAAAGTTATTCAATTTCATGTAGTGAAATTATAATATTAATATTGGAGCATGTAGCTTGATCAATTTGACTGAGTTAGAGAATTTGAACTCCAGTTCTCAGATAGTAGGATTTGGTTAATAAGCCCAATTTGATTTTTTTAATAAATAAAAAAATAAAGAAATCTATATTCCAGTGTTGCTTATGATTTTCTTTTCTTTTCTTTTTTTTTTTTTAAATTTCCTTGTCTTGATAGTTATTAGATGTGAGAAAAGGTTTTCATCTGGCTGTGAAAAATATATTGATAGGATAATTAATATTAATACTTACATCCTATGGGATGATTTAGAGGAATTGTATTCCTTGTACTGCTCTGATTTTCACCAGCCAGAATCAGCTGTGAATACTTAGTCATAATACACAGCAATAAATAATGATCATCTTTGGTTCCAGGTTCCAGGTGCTTCCTGCTTGAGTGGAAGCAACTGTTATTACATGGTTGTTTTCCAATATGGCTCAATCGTCTTGTTTAATGTCCCTGAGAATGAGGTCGATGGTTATCTTAAAATTGTTGAAAGACATGCTTCTGGCTTGCTTCCTGAAATGAGAAAGGATGGTGAGCTCTTGTATCTAAATATTTATTTGATTGTTTCATAAAAATCTCTGAACAATGTTATTCGTCTATTTTACTAGGTTGTCCTTTTAAATGGCTTTTCAAATATCTGCAAAAAGATAGGAGCAGTGAATGTTACTTCAGCAAGTTCTTGGAAATGTATTTCACGAGGATATTTGTCTTTTAGGCTTCTAGTCTCTTTGAAACTGGGTGGATTGAAAGGAAAAATTGACAATATTTGGGTGGGAAATATCTGAGTTATTTGAATCATAATCTTGTCTCTGTTGATGTTGAATGTTGATTTTATTATCTTCATGATTCAACCATCCGTAATTCTTATCATTGAAAATCCCAATTTCCATTGGTCATTTGGAAGTTCTGTTTTATCAGAAACTTTAATGATAGAGCAAGCTGTTTGCTGCTCAATGTTAAAATTGTTTTTGCTATTACGATTGGTATTAGCAGCACCAACAGACGTAGCTTATTCAGTTACAAACTACTTATGTCTTGCATCACGTTTATTAGGAGGATAAAAACATTACAGTTATCAGTTATGGACAATGAAGATTTCTTATATCCTAGCAAATTTCTGTAGTGAAAAAAATATGGCACTTTCTTTAAGTTTTTCTCAATATGCCATTTTACTTTAAGAACATTTATGGACTCTAATATCAAGTCTGTAAAATTCTTTTTTTTTTTTTGGAGGACATCTGACAGGTTTAAAAATATGATTAACATTATGTATAATTTTTCTTTCCCAAAATATGTAGAGTATGAAGTAAGAGAAAAACCTGCTTTAAGTACATGGATGCAAGGTGGGCTGGATTACATAACGTTACAGTACTTGAATGTTGATGGGATCCGTACTATTGGTAGCGTTCTTGGTCAAAGTATTGCACTTGACTATTATGGAAGACAGGTATGTTCATCTCATGTTGCAATTTTTGATGTGTGGATTTGCTGTTGACATTCCTCTAACCTCAGCCCCAAAAACTTCTATGCTAGGTTGATGGAATGGTTGCAGAATTTACTGACATAAACCGAGAGATGGAAATGACGGGAAAATTTAAAATGCAGAGGAAAAAGCTATTCCAGTTGGTGGGAAAGGCAAATTCAAATCTTGCTGATGTAATTCTTAAGCTTGGGCTATTTGAGAGGTAATTCTTTTGTTCGTCGGCCATAAATGGGGAAGTTTGGAAGTTTACTATTTTCAAATAGTAGAGATACAATTCCTATCTGGCCAAAAAAAAAAAAAAAGGTTCAAAACAATTCCCAAGCTGTGAATAACTTTTAAGGAAGCGAATCGATTTCTAGGAAAAAATACTATTGCTGTAATGGTTTGGTTTAAATTGGGTTGTAAGATGCAGAATATGAGAAGCATAGAAAGACCAAATGAAGGGTAAATAGAAATGGTAATGAGACAGGCCCTGGAGTAGCTAAGGAAGTACGAAAATATGAACATGTTGATTACATCTTATTAACCAAAAGTAGATGAGGCTTCATGGGCCCTTTTAATACAAGAACCCAGTATAATTCTAGTTCCTTGCTTCATCATAATGAAGCAAACTTATTAGTTAACCTGAACCATAAGTTACTCCAAACCTTCAATACGAGGACCCCATTTCCTCCAATCAATTTATGGGACCAGTATTACAGAATTACGAAGTTGATAAAATATATTAAAATAAACACCTAATAGTTCTTGTTCAAAATCGTGGATATTGGTCCTCATCTTGGCATCAGATAGGAGTTGATTTTCTTGTATTTATTGTTGACTTCCTCGTTTCATTCTGCTTCATAGTTTTCACTGCTTATCATGCATTTGAAATTTCGTCCTGTGTTGCTGATTTTCTGGCTGATCTTGTGGCCATGTTTCCCTTTTTGCCTTCCCTGCCATGAATAATTGTGTAATAAGAGGCATCACACTCTGATTTTATCAAGTTCTGAGCTATCAATATACCAATATCAATATAGAATATAAAATGTTTAGTTAGTTGCATCATTTACTAGTCATGAACAATGCAACTTATTGCTTAGATTCCACGCATTGCATGGGAAAACGTCATACTTTTTTAATAATACTAATGCATATTCAATCAAATCATAATTATTTCAAACATCATTGTAATACTGTTTTCATGAATTACTTATTAATCTAATTAATCATGTCATCCGTTGCAAACATCCTAATTATTCTCTGACTTGAAGGACAATGGCCAATAACATGAGAAGTTATACTCCCTTGTATTTCTGTTTTCTTTCTTTCTCTGAATGTGCCTCCTTTTTTCCTTTCATGCGAAGGTAGAAAATTTTCTTTTCCTTTGTTTTTTGTGAAACAAATTACGAAGGAACTTAAGCTCTTTGTGCCTCTCTCATTACACGGCCATCTTCTCACATGAGAATCCAACTTCAAGCACCTCGTTCCGTGTTGATTATATTTATTTGATCCTTTAGCTTTACGAGAACTTTTGGTATGGTACATTTGGTTTTTACTTCTCAATTTTTAGTGGTTGATCTTATTCCTCAAGTGTGATTAAAAAAAAAAATTGAACAAATACATTCAAATGGATATTATAAAAATTAAACAAATACAAACTTAAATAGCGTTGCTATATATTCAAACTTATTGACTGGTGTTGATCTTCCTATGATTATCATTGTTCAAGGCTATATTTAGCAGCAGAGTAAATTGTAATGTGTGTCAATTCAACTGAGAACTATTTGAATGGTTTCAACAGATCAGATATTGCTTGGAAAGACGCCAAATATGCTCAGATATGGGAGTATCTCAGGGATGAATTTGAGCTAACTCAGAGATTTGCGAGTCTTGATTTTAAGTTGAAGTTTGTGGAGGTGAGTTTTCTATCTTGATAGACTTGCAGATCTTTTCTTTCATTCATAGATTTGCAAACTAACTCCCATGCCGTTTTTGATCTTGCAGCACAATATTCGATTTCTTCAAGAAATTCTTCAAAATAGGAAATCAGATTTTCTAGAGTGGCTCATCATTGCATTGATTGGTGTGGAAATTCTTCTCTCTCTCTATGATATTTTCCACCGCTCCACCCAGAATCTCTAGCCTTTGTTCCTTAAGTTGACATGAAAATTGAAAAATGACATGCTTTCAAGAAAGATGTAGCAGTAGCTGTTTTCCATTTTGCTCAAACACTGATTGCTTATCATACCAATACAATTTTGTATCCTGTGTATATATATGATATATCTGTTCTAGCCTTTTTCTTTGTTTCAATTGTACTATTCATTGTGTAATATAACTCTCTCAAATGGGTAAAATTCTTCTAAAGTCTACTTGTTCGTGTAATTGGATTTTGGGACGCAACTTGTGAGGTGTCTAGTGGACAAAATTTTGTTTAAAAATAATATATAGTTTCTGTACACTAGCTTACTTGAGAGCCTATTAATCTATTATTTATCAATGTGAATTGTTCTCAGTAATCATGAGTTAGTTTGAAAAGGGTGATGTTTCTTTTTTTTAAAATAAAAAAGGTTAATGCTTTATTTTTTACTATTTCCTTTCATGGGGGGGAGATTGAACTGACGATTTCCTTATCCCCACTTAGGCAATGATCTGAGGTTGGGGCAAATTTTTAATTTCACTTCTAAAATTTCAGTTTGCATTTCATCCTAATGAAAGAGGTTATAATAGTATGTTGCTTTAGCAAAAGGTTGTGAATACAAATGATTTTGAAATATAATTGTATCTTGCTTTAGCATCAGGTTGTGAATACAAATGATTTTGAAAGAATGATGTAGTGTTTGGGACCTAATCTGAATTTAGATTTGGGAAAGTTTAACGTGACTTTAGGCACTAGATTGCATGTCAAACAAAAGAAAGTTTGGTAGTCTGAAAAGGATAAAAAAATTAAAAAAGCATGACAAAAAAGTTTGATTTGAATTAGTTTGCTTGGTTTTAAAATTTTAAAAAGCAAGCGATAGTCAAATTTAAAAGATTTTAAAATTTTAAAAAGCAAGCGATAGTCAAATTTAAAAGAGAGAATAACACTTTCTTTTCATTGTCGGTTGCTAAACAAGACATTGTTATTGTGGGCGCTCGATCTACTTGTCTATTTCTCTCATTACATTATCATGTGGTTGCTACAAATAATTAATTTACGTCAACATCACACTCTATTTTCTTAATTAGAGGGCAGGCATTAATAGCCTAAGGTTATAAGTGGGATTAAATATGTGACTTCTTACCTACAAAAAAAGTCCATACGCTACTAGATTATACAGCTATTGGCGCACACATCATACTCTATCTTCAACCTTGTTGCAGGAAAAGGGGGGGATGAACTCAAACCCATCCCAGATCCCATAGTGTCATAGTATCTTTCTTCCCAAGAAACCTAAAGCAAAGCCCTGTTTTAAAAGCAAAAACACAAAAACTTGGTTTATTTGTCCATTTAGAAAGCCCCTAATCTTGATACGCCCTCTGCCTTATTTGTAGAACACCTTTTAAAAATAATTTTTTGACCACAATGTATGACATTTTATAATAATTAAACTACTTTTTTTAATTTTATCTTTTTTTGATTAGCGTGAAGGCATTTAATGTTGTTGTATTATTATTTAAAACCAAAGATAAAAATAAAAGATCATTTTTCATGATATTAGGGAAAAAAAACTAAATTTTCTTAATATGTATGAAATGGCTAAAAATGTCTTACAATAAGAACCAGAGGGAATGTGTGTATGTGAAAGAGAACATGTTCTCATTTGATGGACATATTATTGTGCTTCTTATTTGTTGGGACAACAAAAGTTAGATTTTAAAATATTAAATTAATGACAGTTAGATTTTCAACAAAAATATTTAAAAAACTTGTTAAAAATATCAATTTAGATATACAATTGTAAACTTGGGGATTTCTATTATAGATAAGATATTTAAATTTCAAATTTCATTTTTAGATTATAATAGAAATTTCTATTTATAATTGTCTATATTAATATTTATAACTTATTTTTTTAAGAGTTTGTTGAAAATATAACTATCATTAATTTAATTTCTGGACCTAAAAATCATTTTCTTTTATTTTTTTATCTAGTTAAATAGTACTCTCTTTTGTCCTATTTGTAGGGTAAAGAGAAGATTTTTTTGGATCATATTTTTAAATCATCTCATTAAATTTTTAATACAAATTTTCTTGTTTACTCTCCATTAAATGTTAGAGAGGGAAAATATATTGTTAAATTATGTATATTTAATATTCATAAAGTTGAAAGTTTATTAATTTTTTTAAATAGAGTTAATAAATTTTTAATTTTTTTTTTGCTTCTAGTAGAACATATTGGAAATGATCTATAAATAAGATTAGGAAGTATATATCTCATGTTAAGCTCTGTACAAAGCACAAAACTCTTAGGATTGTTATTTATTATATATATGTGTGTGATTTTAATGTTGTTTTCTTGACTTATCTATTCATATTTTACAAGATTGTAAGGATGTTAAGGAGGTTTGGGAAAAATTAGTCAATCCTTCTTAGCATAATATTCTTTTCTCTCTTTATGTGTAGGACTAGATAATTTAAAATGCTAAAAATGAAGTTGGAAGCATGTTTGCTAAAAGATTACCCTGATAAAAACTTTTTGTCCAAGCTTGTTAAAACATATGAAAAGCTAGATGCAAGAAAGTTTACTCTAAAGATACTAACTTGGACAATGACATTGCTTTCTCCTACACCCAACAAATTATCAATGACCTAAAGCTTCAATCCAAACCCAACCTTTTGAGCAAAATTGACATCAGACATGAAGTTAGATGGAATCCACCAAATCTTAGGTGGGCTAGACTTGATGTTGATAGCCTGGTCAATCATAATGGCGTTGTTGCTTGTGGAAGCCTTATCAAAGATGATAAAGGTAATTGAATTAAGGGGTTCTTCAAAAATCTTGGCTATCAACTCAGCACAACAGCTGAGCTTATAGGGATTTTAGAAGGACTAAACATTTGTTGGAATGTTAAAAATCCAAAAAATTAGTGTTTGTTCTAATTCTATGGAAGCTCTATCCTTCATCAAACTTCAAACATAGCTATCCTCTGTCAACATCTATAAAAAATGTTAGAAACCTCATCATGAGGAATTGAGTAATTACTTTTGATCATGTTTATAGAGAAGTTAATTGATGAGCAGATCTACTAGCTCACAAAGCTTCCAAAAAGCATTTTGATATTACCTTTTTTGACAATCCTCCCATGGATTGTGCAAGCCTTATGGCTTTGGACAGAACTTGGTCTATTTGCATGGTTTTCAATGTGGTCTTGTATTAAAAAAAATATTGTTTTCTACTTTTCTTCTTGTGTTTTCATCCAAATTATTATCAACATAAAATATAAAAAAATATATGGAGTGACACTTTTCAAAAATATAATTATAAATGATAAGACTTATAGGATTGTCTCAAATTTTATAAAAATACATATGATCCACCCTTACTATACATTAACTTAAATAGTATCGATTACGTATTATCAAAAAGGGAGGAAAATTCACCCAACAATTTATAATTTAGCTCAATTTTCTTATGAACATTGAAATGGAAGAAAACAATATTGCAAGCATATACTTATTTGGTCCTATTTATAGGGTAGAGAGAGAAAAAATTTGGTTATATTTATAGGGCAAAGAGAGAAGAAAAAATTTGATCCTATTTATAGGACACTTACTAATTTCCAATGCTCTTTTCTTACATTTTTGTCTATATTAAATGCTTTAAATAAAAATATCAGTAATGAAATTTAAGAATATTTATTTGAGGTAAAGGTTAAAACTTGTTAAATTTTAAGACAAAATTAATGAAGTTTAAAGTTTTTTTATTTATTTTGGTAAAACATGTTAGAAGTGACTTATAAATAAGATTAAAAAGAGTAATGACTAAAAATATCAATTGAAAGAATTTATATATTGGGTGTTTCACACACATCCAAATAGAGCTATTTTATGGAAAAAAAAACAAAAACTAGATTAACAAATTAAAAAAATTGAAAAAAAGACATTCAAGTGAGAAATCACCTGTCACATTCAGAAATGGAGTATCCTTTCAAGAATGTTAAGTAAAATGTTCTTATCATCTACTAGATACAATAATTTGGGCCAAGTTCGACGAGTCAATTTAAATGAGCTTGAAAAAATTTAAAATCAGGTTTGAGAGTTAATTTTTTTTTTTAAATTTTTAACTCAGTCTATCAAAACATTTCTCCACTTTGAAGACACTAGTTTGCTACATATTATAGCTCAACCCAGTAATACGTGTGGGTTTCTAAGGCTTTTTCTATCGTCTTAACACTGGGTCCCTTACCAAAATCAAATTCTAATACCACATAGCTGAGCCCAACTACACGTAGGCTTAAAAGGCTTTTTCTATGTGTTTGCATTGCGTCGTTTATTGGAATCAGTTCTCATGTCACTTATTGGTCTCAACAAACATATTGAAAGGAAGAAGAAAGCTATCTAATACTTTTAAGAGAGCACATATAAGTAAATATGATATTACTTTTTAACCCAAAATCTTAAGACATTAAATTTATAAATTTTTTCACTTATATATCTCTTTCCATCCCAAGTATACATTGATATGAGACTTTTTTCTACAATAAACTTAGAATACTCTCACACCTCACATTCCAACAATTTTTTGTGTTAAAGGCAAGTAATACTATTTGAACTAGTAGTTAACTTTTTTTTTTTTGGGGTAAAAAATTAAGGAGTATCATTATCATCAATGCAAGTGAAGATCAAAGCAGCCTCGTTAGGCCATTGAAGCAACTTGGAGATGAGTTGAAATGTACATCTGGTCAAAGATTGGAAGAGGAATATTAGTATTTGGAGGAGGAAAGCATAACTTGACAAGTTGAGTTGCACTGATGACAAAAAAAACTTATGCGAAAACAAAGCCACGACAAGACTCAGTTTGGGAACACAACAAATTCACTCTGAGATGGGAAAGGAAATATTGAATGCACGCAGAGAAGTCGGGAGAGATATTGTCTTGCATATACACACACTAGCCAAAATAAAACTACCCACTCCAAGAGGCAGTTGCAAACCTATAACTGTTCCCACTCTAATTCAAAATAGAGGAGAGAAAATCACATCTTATTTCCCAAAGCATATTACTCATTGAAATCCCAATCTTCCCAATATTATGATAAAACCTTGCTCTGATTGGGCTTTCATTTTAGCCTTCAATCTAGCGAGGGAGAAAACCCAACAAGGAAGATTC